GTTCAAAGGCTCCAACCTACCACTTCAACTTCATCTTTTGCCACTTTTCCTCTTATCCATTGTGCTCCAGCCACACTAGCCTTTATTCATTTCCTGACTTTTTCCTACCTTAGAGCTTTGCAAATTCTGTTCCCTATACTTTGAAATCTCTTCCCTTTACTTTCAGCATGACTGTCTCCTTATTATATCTTTCTGGGCTGTTTCTTACCTCCTCAAAGAGGTATACCACCCAATCAAAAACAGCCTCAATTTTTTTCTTCCTAGCAATTTATAATTATTTATTTACATTTACACTGTTGGTATCTTCCACTAATATGTAAGCTTCATAAGAGCTAGCACTGTGTCTGCTTTGTTCACCATGTTATAACTAGTGCCCAGACCAATATCTAGCACATAGTAAATGCTGGATAAATATTTGTTGAAAGGATGCAGATATCCATTTCAACTCTGTGGTTTCCAATCTAATTCTAATGCATATTCAAGGTCCCATCCCAACGGGCTAGCAGAAATGCAGAAAGTTTTTTTTTTTTAATTACACTGAACCTGAGGGAAGAAACTCGAGACTCACACTGACCTGCCTGAGCAAGCCACAGTCAGATCAGTCTCACCTACAAAATTAGGAGGTAGTATTGTTAGTGACATATGAGCAGATGAAGTATAGAACAGGCCATGTAAACAAATGGGACACTGAGTAAAACACACACTGAAAGATAAGGGTAGCCAGAAGTGTCACAGAATGTTAGTAAGTATAAGAAATGTGGGATGTGAGCAGAGAAAATACAAAAGCAAGCAATGTAAACAAATGGGATACTGAGTAAGAGAATATACTGTAACCATAACAAGATAAGGGTAGCTACAAATATCATAAGAAACATAACAAAAACAACACAGGGCACATTATACATTACAGCCCCCCCTCCCCATGGGCTTTGGACACCACAACACATCTGGTCTAACTATATAAGGTGAAAAACTCCTCCTGCCTGACAGCTGGAAGGAGACAACATCCCCATTGGTCAAGAAAAAAAGAAGAGACATTATGAAAGAGGAAAGGCCAGACAAGAGAAAAAGAGATGACAAAGAGACCCCAGTGTCACTGTCTGCTGGGACGTGTGTCCATTTCCCCTTTTGGAGTATACTATCTCTTGCTGATTAGAAACCCAAAAAGACTCCAGGTGCCACTGTACACTGGGACATGTGCCCACTCCTACCCCTTTCGGAGCATGCTATCGCTTGCTGATTAGAAATCCAAAGAGTAGCGAAGAAATAATTACTGGGGGAAAAAAAGACAAAAAAGAAAGAAAGGAAAGAAATTAAATAAATAAATAAATAAAAAAGAAACCCCAGTGCCACAGTCTGCTCAGATGTGTGCCCACTCTTAACCCCTTTAAGAGTAAACTTTCGCTTTAGTAAACTTTGCTGCTTGCTGTTTCAAAACCGTCTCTTGCTTTCATTCTCCAATTGCAAGAAGATTAAGAATCAAGGAGTTCAGTGGCTCAATGGTGTAATCCTAGCATTCTGGGAGGCTGAGGCAGGAGGATCACTTGAGCTCAGGAGTTCGAGACCAGCCTGAACAAGAGTGAGACCCCGTCTCTACTAAAAATAGAAAAATTAGCTGGGCCTGGGGACATGTGCCTGTAGTTCCAGCTACTCAGGAGGCTGAGGCAGGAGGCTGGCTTGAGCCCAGGACTCTGTCTCAAAAAAAAAAAAAAAAAAAAAAAAAACCCGAGGAGTTCAACAGCCAGTAACAGTAATTTCTAATGTATTTTCCAGCTTGAGGAAAGTTTTGGGTTGCCAATTAAGCCAAGATTTCCAGGGGACCTCTAAACATTTGTGGCTTTATCAGGTATCCTCTGGCCAGCTACACACTATACAGTCACCAGTGCCACCTGCTGGTCACAGAGATGTTCCTGTTTCTGGGGAAAGATCCCCTAATAGCAAAGGTAGAAGCGGCGATTAGCAACTATGAATTTGATGTGCATATCTCATTTAACCCTCTCAAAGTTTCTAAGGTAAGTACTATTATCATCCCCATTTTACAGAAAAGACAACTGGCTAGGCCGGGATGTGAACTTCCATCACCCTCAAAAGCCCATACTTTTTTTTTTTTTTTGCGACAGAGTCTCACTTTGTTGTCCAGGCTAGAGTGAGTGCCGTGGCGTCAGCCTAGCTCACAGCAACCTCAAACTCCTGGGCTTGAGTGATCCTTCTGCCTCAGCCTCCCGAGTAGCTGGGACTACAGGCATGCGTCACCATGCCCGGCTAATTTTTTATATATATATCAGTTGGCCAATTAATTTCTTTCTATTTATAGTAGAGACGGGGTCTCGCTCTTGCTCAGGCTGGTTTTGAACTCCTGACCTTGAGCAATCCGCCCGCCTCGGCCTCCCAAGAGCTAGGATTACAGGCGTGAGCCACAGCGCCCGGCTAAAAGCCCATACTTTTAACCATTATGCTGGTCTAAACTCCATAAAATGTTTAAATCACTGACAGTCTAGGAATTGGGAAAATGCGTTCTTAATTCACTTTGTTCGGCGACATCTGTTCAGAAAAAGGGACCTCGCTGGGGTCAGATGGGCCTTGGGGGAGGAGGCGTGAGAGGAGTGAGGAGAGCTACGACCATTCAACCAAGAGCAGAACAGACTCTTGCCGTGAAAGAGGGCGCCAGTTCTCCTTAGCAGTCCAGTCCCTAGGGAGGACGGTCAGCACAGGTTCTCTCCCGCCATCGTCAAAGCGCGGCGCGCCAAGGTCGGTCATGTCAGGCCTCCCACTAAGCCAAAATGCAGCGACTCAGTGCGGGCTTCGGGGCCAGGTTAAGGCCCAGGTCGGATGGTAAGCCGTGAGGGCGGCGCTGAAGAGAGACCCTCGTCGGGCAGGAGGGGAGAGTAGAGCTGAGTCCAGTCCAAAGGCGGGCGTACTGAAGGCGCCTCACAGGCGCCCTGGCCGGAGCCGGGAGAACTGACTGGACCTGCGCGGGGCGGGGGCCAGGCGGGCCGGGGTCTCCGGAGCGAGCGAGCTCCCTTCGGCACCCTCCCGAGGAAGGAGCAGTGCTCCGGGTCCCCAGCACAGTCTCTGGTCTCAGGGGCCTCAGACCCGCCAGGGAATACGAACCTGTGCTGAGGCCCCAGGTCAGGGGTCAGGCGTGGCGGCAGGAGCCGGCCTGCCGAAGGTCTTCTGTGCGCAGCCGGGCGCTGTGGACGGCAGCTGCGGAGGGCCAAAAGTAGTCCTGGCCCAGCAGGGCACAGCCACCCACGCGTTCCGGTGAGCGCCGAGTTGGGGCCCGGACTGACCCACAGAGAACGTTTCCAAATAGGATAATTGCTTTTACTTCGGCATCCCTCACCTGCCCTGTGATTGCGCAGTCTTGGCGCAGTGGGTCAGATCCCGACCAGTAGGTTCTAATCTATTCAACTTGAGCAAGGATTGGGGCAGCCTCTGAAAAAGGAAAATACTAATTCAATTCATTATCTATTTATTGAGGCGGGAGAAGACCCGTCCTAGCCCCAGGAGCTCCCAGTGGAATCCATTTAGTTGAAAAGGTAAAAAGCACTCGAGGCGGTAAATAAATGACGGTGAGTGATGCACTGTAGCCCAACAATAACTGGTGCTTCAGAAACCGTTGGTTGAATTAATTAGGAGTTACAGGTGTGTGGAGGGCGAGACTACTGTGGGCCAGGAGCTTCCTGGAAGATTTCAGGAACATGAGACAGGTGATATTCCAGTAAAGAGAAAAGGGCCAAACCGGGCTAATGGGCGCAGTGGTGTTTTTCCATTCTGTGAATGAAACAGGGGGGGAGGGGGGGGTCTGGATGCAGATTGTGGAGTGTCAATTCAATTCTGCAGATAATTGAGAGTTATAAAAATTACGGGGAAGGATGCAATAAGATAAAGATTGTATTTTGAGTCTAGCAATATGGACCTCCTTGGAGTAGAGCTGGAAACAAGGACTCAAATTAGGAGACTAATAGAACAATCCAGGTAGCCAGTGATGAAAGCCTGGACTAATATAGGTTAAGGATTATTATGGTGTTGGAGCCTGAGAGACCAGAAAAATAGTGGTGATATTTTAATAAAGCTAGAGAACTTGAGAAAGGGGCTTGAAGAGTTTATATCACACACATATGAGACAGGGTATCAGTCCGTTGCCCAGGCTACAGTGTGGTGGTGTCATCATAGCTCACTACAACTTCAAACTCCTGAGGCAATCCTCCTGCCTCAGCCTCCAGGTAGCTGGGACTACAGGCCCATGCCACCATGTCTAGCTAACTTTCATAATTTTTGTGGAGCCAGCAGTTTGTTTTCCAGGCTGTTCTCAAACTCCTTTCTCAACTTCCTAACATGCTCAAATTACAGGTGTGAGCCACTGCACCCAGCCAAGATCATATGGATCTCATAATGTTGAAAGAATTGTGGCACTTCCAAATATAAATGGTTTGTAGACAGCTGAAGATCTTGGATCTAAGTTGATTCAAAACTTCCACTTAATGCATGAATTCTGCTGTATTCCTGATATACCTCTAATAATGGGGAGCCAGTTATCATGATGGGGCCCAATTCATTGCATCACAACTCTAGGGTTCCTTTTCATGTGGACTTGGGAGTTTTGAAGTCAGAAGACTACTTAGAGCATTATCTGTGCCACAGTACAATTTTTTTAAACTAACCACTATTACTAAAAAGGTTTTTTTTATGGAAAATAGTAATAAATCTTGTTCCAACTTGGGAAGTTAGGAAAATATCTTCCTTCTTCCTAGACCCAGTAAATGGAAAAAGGAACTACCCGTATCACCTGCTGTGTAACTGGAACCCCCAACTACCTTCACAGGCAGTAAAATTAACATCTACACTTAATCCCCACCCCCACCCCACCCTACCCTCCCATCCTTCCAATTTCAGAAGAGGAAAACAAGAAAGAGGGCAGATAGAAGGCAGGGGGGAAAAAAAGGAAAAGGATGAGGTTCTTCACAGCAGTGACTTTTCCTGGAGAAAGAAGGCAAAGATACCACAGCACTAAGTTTTATTAGGGGATTTCATTAAGGTTAAATTTCTAGGAATGAGGGAGTCCTAGTTAGAAGGCATAAAAGCCCATGAAGCCTCCTCAGATCTCATAGTGAACCACCGGCTCAGGTTCTTTGGTAGGATCGCCGCCTCGTTCCAGGTACAAATCATTGTAAGGGTACTGCTTTGGCCCCTAAGGAAAAAACACAGGTCAGCAAGAACGACATACATGCAGCCAATACCTGGGTACACTCCACTCTGAGTTAACAATCATGCACGGTAAATGGGTACAAAGTAGCCTCTGGTCAGACCCAGCTGGGCTAGAACTGCGGGAACAGCACTCTTCCCTGCTCAGCCTAAGGCAGAGAGAAAGCCTAAATTGTAAGAGAAGTGGTGCCTACACCATGAGTGAGAGAGGGAAAGGGGAAAAGAAAGGAGGGAGGAAAAAGGGGGAAAGGAGGAGGAGGAGAGAGGGGGAGAGAAAGAGGAGAGAGAGGGAGAGAAGGGAGGGGAGGAGGTGGAGAGGTGGAGGTAGAGAAGGAGAGGGGGAGAGGGAGAAAGAGAAAGAGTCAGAGGCAACGCTTTCTAAATGAGACGATGCATCCATCCATCCCACTCTCTCGGGTGGAGACAGACTCAATCTCCTTTAAGTCACTCAGCCTCTAATGGTTCCACTACTAAAGTGGCCTAGCAAATGAGGCGTGCAGGAGCAGTGGTGGGGGAAAGCACAGAGGAGACACGGCTGGGATGTGCATTAGAGGCTGCTGGTTTTACCAACAAACAGCTGTCAGAGAACACAGCTCAAGGGGAGGAGAAAGGGAGATGTGCTTACAGAACTGAAAAATGGAAGAGCCATACTGTGTTTCTTGCTCTCTTAAAGTGAAGTTAGTGCTCACCCCAGCCCCATGTGCACTCTCCAGCATGGAACCCCTGGGGCTTGGTAGGAAGGCTCGTGTCAGTGCACACAGACATACCAGCTACCTTCAGGACATTGATTATCTCTGCAGAGGTAGCACTGGGCAGCCAACAGCAAATGCAGCAACCTCCCTGCTCTCAATCCCTCTCCTTCCAATCCATCCTGTAGACTACTTCCAGATTAATCTTCCTAAAAACCCTCCCTTCATTATCACGCTCTTCTGTTGGCTCCCTTCTACCTAAAGGCAGACCAAGTCATCATTGTATCCCTAATCCCTAGCACAGTCTGCACCTGGTATATAGTAGGGGCTCCATAAATATTTGTTAACTTAGTGCATTATTATACCATCAGATCCAAATCTCTTAGCAATACAATAAAAGCGGCTGACCTAAACTGATCCACTCACCTCACGATACTTTTTAATACAGTGATTTCCAAATCTATATGTACATCAGAATTTACCTGGGAGCTTGTTAAAAATACTGATTCTAAGATGCTACTGAATTAGGATTTCTAAGAAATGGAGCCTGGGAATATGAATGTTTAGCAGCTTACCAGGAAACCAATGCAGCTGGTTATCTAGAAACTGTTTTATATACCTATCCCACTCCAGCTAATTCACAACTCCTTTTCTCTCTTTTATTGTTTTCTCTTGCCCCAAATGTTTTCTCTAACTTCTTCCTACCACCCAAATCCTATTATTTTAGCATCTAGGTAACCCTTTTCCTTGAGAGCAGCTCATACCACTTAGCACATACATTCACTATACATAAACCCATACTGTGCCAAACTTCCATATATGTGTTCAAATTTTGCTCATCATGTCACTTATCTAAATTTTCTTAACTAAACTTCCTTAAGTTAGAGAATATATTTTCTATGTGCTTTACATTCTCCAAAATATAACTGTCTGAACTATTATCAGACCACTTCACCCCAGCCTGGACAACAGAGCTAGATCCTGTCTCTAAATAAATAAATGAATGAATAACTGTCTGTTCTTTTAATGAACACTTAATTGCTTCCAGTATACCACAGGAAGTGCTCTTCATGTGTCCAAGAAAGGATAACATTTCAGCTCAAGATTTCCTGACTCTACCTTGAAAATCACTTGCTGCAATATCATTGGTAAATAAAATCCTCAAATGGCAACTCCGTAGACTAGCTGGCTTCCACATTCTCATTCCTCACCAAGTCCTAAAGTGTACCTTCTCACTCAGATGGGTCCCAGAAGTAAGGGTAGAGCAGTGCTCTGGTACTTGTGCCAGGCCAATGGGTAAGGCCCTCCTATCTTCCTATCTCCTAAGACTCTAGGAAGCCAAGCTTGGTATTGACTGAATCCCTACTCCAGAGACTTCATTCCCTCAGGAAACAGGGCTAAGCAAATATGCCTAAGAGAAGACTTCTCAGATACTCACCACAGGCTGGTAGGAGGGATACTTCTCCCCAACCCAGAACATGAATATCATGAAGGCCACGAAGCCGAAGAGCTGCTTACACATGACATTCCAAGAAACAGGTGTGGGGGACGTGTCCACACGGTTCCTGATATACATGTCTAGGTCCCAGTGTATCTGAGGCAGAAAGACAAATAACTGTCACATACTACTCTTCCTGAAAAAGGCAGGCAGTCCAGAGTGATCAGAGCCTGATACAAGTCTTGACAGAAGCATTCTACTGCCCTGGAGCAATATTCTGAGAGCCAGGTCTGAGACACACCCATACACAGGACTAGATGCTGGCTTCTGTCTAGGTTCTGCTGACCAGGGACAGCTCAATCATGGAAGTGCACAACTCTCACAGTACAGAGCTTTGGTTATTCCCAGAAGTCCCATTCCATGTGTCACAAATGGAACCTCAAATCTCAGATCCCTGGACTTTGTTACCTCTCACAGAAAAGCTTAGTGTTTCTTGGACAGAGATGTCATTTGAGCTAAAGAAAGAATCCCCAGGAAGACATGGGGAGAAGGAAGGAAGGTCAAATGGGATATGATTCTCTCACCGGTTCACCCCAGTTCAACCTCAGGTCTGAGTGGTCCCAGTCATACCATGGATCCCTCTCGTGCTGTGAGCGGTCAGGGAGCTTTGGGTAGTCACCATACCTGAGAGACAGGAAGAACTTCTGGAAGGGGCTGTGAGCAGTCTCAGACAATTCTGAGTCTCCTCATCTCAAAGATGAGAAACAGATGAGAAGCAAAGTGACAGATAACTGTCTCACCTAAGGACAAAGGAACTGACTCTCAAATCAAGATCTTAAGTTCTAGTCACTAAGCACAGAACCATAGAAGTCCCAATTGTTAAGTAATAGTTCATGTCAAACTCTAAAACACTGTAACATATACAAGGTTTCCTTACCTTCTTTCAACAAAAAGAAAGAGAGACACACAATGCTCTAACCTTAGGGTTGAAAGGGAATTTTGCAATCCATTACAAATGTGCACTGCATAACATTTTGGTCAACAATGGACCTGGACAATGGCAGTCCCATAAGATTATAATGGAGCTGCCCTATACAGGTGCCAAAAGTGACAGGGGAAGCCAGTAGTTAAAAGAAAAGTCTTCACCATTTTTTCTTTTATATTGTATTTTTACTGTAGCTTTTCTATGTTTAGAGAGTTTATATACACAAATAATATCATGCTACAATTGTCCACTGTATTCAGAACAGTAACATGCTGTACATATTAATATTTATAGCCTAGGAGTAGGCTACTATGATCTACGTTCATATAAGTACACTTTATGATGTTCACACAATGAAATCCCCTAACGATGCATTTCTCAGACAGTATCCTTGTTGTTAACTGACATATGACTGAACTCTGATTCCCTTAGATAAAAAATGAACTTAAAGTTTAGGGTCTGAAGCCAAAGTCACCCAACTAATTGGACTAAAAACAAGGTACAGATTAGAAAAGCATTCTTTTCATAGCAACTGTGTTCCTTAATCACAGAGTTGGCATTCATCTCCATGTCTTAAACACCTCATGGGACTTCTTGCTAAGCTAGGTTTTCACCCAACAAATCCAGGTTCATCTTACAAGACTGTGACCAAGGCTGCTCTTGTTCACAACACAATAAAAAACATAGGAAAAGATGACAACTAGACATGTTTCACACAAAATGAGTGGAAAACAAGAAGAATAGGAGCTGCTAAAAACAAGACTGCAAGAGTAATGCTAGGACAGGAAATGAAGGTGATGATAATCACATCAGATAATTAACCATAGGGATGTTATGTAGATATGGAGGAGAGTGGAAGGGATAACATCAACTGGAGAAAGGGCTTGGATGTTTAATATACCTAACAGTTGCTACAATTTCCACAGCTCTGACAGCAGAAAGTATTTTTTTAAAAGGAGACACAAAATATAGCATACTACATTTACAAATAAGGTTCTCATGAAGCTGGTTCTCATGACCAGCTCCAGCCTGGTCACATGCCTGGATGGCAGCACCTGAGCCCAGCAGATGCTCAATCTAAATTGAAACCCAACGCTCTGGTGGAACCAAGGAAGGTCCCTGCTTTTGAGGGGGTTGGGGAGGGGGGCGGTCCTCGAGGGACACATTAAAACCTCGGCTTTTCATTTGAGTAAACAGCCTGAGCCAAGGAGAAAATTGAAGTCCTCTCAGCTGCAGCTGCTCACTCACCCCCTCCCACAGAGAAAAGCACCCACACCATTGACTTTGAGGGGTCACAAGAAGGTTTGGGAGAAAGGGTCCAGAGTCCAGCCACCCAGCCCAGCCGACCTCCCGTCACTACTTAGGTGAGAGCACACACTCTCCATCTCACCCCATGCCATCATCTGGATAAGGCTCGTAGTCTTCTACACGCATATTATACTTCTTTGCGGCGGCGGCCCGTTCTTCTGGTGTCCTAGGATAGGGCCCCGGGAGCATGTCCTTGGTCATGTTGGAGGCTGGAGCGCAGAAGAGGGCAGGTCATACCGTTCTCCCGCTGCCCCGAAGGCTTCAAGCTGCAGAGGCTAGAGCCCAGGACTTCGCAGGACCCACGCGACCCTCCACCCGCTTTTGTGGATATAGGGAATCCACCTCTGCCCCCTACCCGGACACAGCCACCGCGGCATCCACGATCCCCGCTCCCGACACACCAAACCTCGGGCATCCCCTTCCCACACTGAGGCCTCGCCCGTTCTTGCGGACCTGTCCGTGTACCCAACGGCACAACATTCCGGCCTGCCCTTTGCAGCCATCGGACTCCCAGGGCCCCAGCCCTTGCCGCCGCCATCTTCACCTTCTTCCCGTTTCACTCTGCACATGCGCAAAGGGCTGTCACGGCGGCTGAGCCGGGCCAAACTCGACAGGGGAATTAGGCAGTGAAGAAAAGTCTTCAGCGTGCAACGGAGACGGGCTTTAAAATTGGTGCTGGGAAGCCAATGGGAAGATGAGCGGTTGGACAGAGTCTGGGAGTGTTAGCGGGAAGGGGAGAAAACCATGCAGGTTGCTTCTTTGACATTTCAGATTGTTGCGTCCCTTTTCTCCCTCAGCTGAATTAGACCCATCCAGGGTTAAGGGGACTTGGAACCTGAGCATCTCAGGTAGACAGCCGACTCACCTCCCCAGGAGCAGTGCTGGTAAAATAAGTCTGTCTTATTTTCTTCTTTTCTGGCTGCTTGTCGTTTCCTCTTCCTTCCATCTCCAAACGTGATCATTCTTCAGTTCAGCCCTTGGTCTTGTTTGTTCTCGTTCTGATCTCCAAACTGGTTGATCTCCTACTCTTAAGATGCTCCGTGCAACACACAATTTGACCGCGAATTGGCTTCTCAGTCTCAGACACCTCAACCCAACAAATGTAAATTAAATCTATCACCTGAGGCAGCTCTCTAGAGACACTCTAAAGCCTCAGATTTGCTAGGACTTGGGTAAATAGATTTCAAACCGGCCCACAAGTAACAAACTTTAACTCAACAGACGAATGGGAGACATTATATTTGCATATGAATATGCTTTCTCTTGGGATTTGAATAATTTACACATTATAAATATGTATATATTTCCAGTGACTTTTCAGGTGATCACTGTTTTGGAGCAGAATCTATTATTATAGGTATTCCCAAATATGTATCACAGCAACAAAAATGGATATATACTATTTAGCATACAAATTTTGGGAAGGACTACACAGCAACTTGCCCTCTTGTAAATGTGCACCACTAGTTGATAGTAAAAATAATTGAACATCATCTACTTTCAACCAACAGCAAGCCCTGATCTAGGTCAAGAAACAGTTGGTTTAATTAATTTATTTATTTTTATTAAGATATTATTCACATACCATAAAATTCACCCTTTTAAAGTGTACAATAAAGTGATTTTTAGTATATTTACAAAGTTGTGCAACTTTTACCACTATTTAATTCTAAAACACTTTCATCACCACCAAAAGAAACCTCATACCCATTAGCACATTCCCTGGCAACCACTAATCTACTTTCTGTCTGTATTTACCTATACCTGAATTTACCTATTCTGAATATTTTATATAAATGGACTGATACAATATGTAACCTTTTGTGTCTGTCTTCTTTCACTTAGCATAAGGTTTTCAAGGTTTGTCTGTGTTATCCCACAGGCTATATTACAAACACATAGTCAAGCATCCAAGTGAGATTTAGTAATGGAATCATAAGAGTTCTGACCCCCAGTCCTCAACTTCTCATATCAGAAATCCAAGCCTACCTATATATCTGATTATCTTAGGTCTGGGTTGTACATTAGATAAATGTATATAACCAGTACTTCATTCCTTTTATAATTGAATAATATTTCATTATATGGATACACAGTACATTTTATTTATCAGTTAATGGACATTTGGGTTGTTTCAACTTTTTGGCTTTTATGAATAATGCTGCTATGAACATTGCATAAGTGTTTGTAGGGATGTATGTTTTCTATTTTCTTAGTTATATACCTAAGAGTAGGATTGCCAGGACATAGGGCAACTCTACGTTTAACTTTTTGAAGAACTGTGGAATTGTTTTTCAAAGCAGCTGCACCATTTTACATCCACTAGCAGTGTATGTGGTTCTGAATTTCTTTACATCCCCATCAACACTTGTTATTGTCTGTCTTTTTTTTTTTTTTTTTTGAGACAGAGGCGCCCGGCCTGTCTGTCTTTTTGATTATAGCCATGCTAGTGGGTGTGATAGTATCTTATTATGGTTTTCATTTGCATTACTGTGATGCAAATTTCATTTGCATTACTGTGATGCATTACTAATGATGTTGAGCATCTTTTCATGTGCTTATTTGTCAATGGTATATCTTCTTTTAGGAAATGTCTGGTCACATCTTTGTCCATTTTTAAATGGGGTTATCTTTTTCGAACTCCTGACCTTGAGCAATCCGCCCGCCTCGGCCTCCCAAAGTGCTAGGATTACAGGCGTGAGCCACCGCGCCCGGCCTGTCTGTCTTTTTGATTATAGCCATGCTAGTGGGTGTGATAGTATCTTATTATGGTTTTCATTTGCATTACTGTGATGCAAATTTCATTTGCATTACTGTGATGCATTACTAATGATGTTGAGCATCTTTTCATGTGCTTATTTGTCAATGGTATATCTTCTTTTAGGAAATGTCTGGTCACATCTTTGTCCATTTTTAAATGGGGTTATCTTTTTATTGCTGAGTTGTAAGCATTCTTTATGTATTCTAGATATAATTCCCTTGTCAGATATATGATTTGTAGGTATTTTTTCCCATTCAGTGAGTTGTCTTTTTACCTTCTAGATGGAGTCCTTTGGAACCCTGTTTTTATTATGAAAAGGTGTTAGACTTTGTTCAAAGTTTTTTCTGTATCTATTGAGATTATCACTTTTTTTCTTTTACTAATATGGTATATTAGATTGATTGATTTTCAGATGTTGAACTAACCTTGCATTCCTGGAATAAATCCCACTTGGTTGTGATATATAATCCTTTTTATATGGTGCTAGGTTCAGGTTACTGGTATCTTATTGAGAATTTTTGCATATATATTCCTAAGTGAATCTATGGTTTCTTGTAATGTCTTCATCTTGTTTTCATATCAGGGTAATGTTGGCCTCACAGAATGAATGGGGAAGTGTTTCCCCCTCTTCTATTGTTTGGAAGTTTATGGAAGAATTGGTGTTGATTCTTTTTTAAATGTTTGATAGGATTCATCAGTGAATCTATCTGGTATTAGGATTTCCTTTGTGGGATTTTATTTTTAATTTCTAATTCAGTCTCTTATAATAGGTCTATTCAGATTTTCTACTTCTTTTTGAATCAGTTATAATTTGTGCCTTTCTAGGAATTTGTCCATTTCATCTAGGCTTTTAAATATTTTAGCATATAATTGTTCATAATATTCCCTTATATGCCTTCTTAGTAAAATCAGTAGTAATGTCCCTGTGTCATTTCTGATTTTAGTTATTGGAATCTTCTTGATCTAATTTATTTTTAATTCCCAAGGTTATAAATAAATGTTTTTGTAAAAATTCAAAACATTACAGATAAAACTAAAGCTTTAATTTTCACCCCCAGGCTCACACCCTTCTACAGAGGTAACCATCTCCTCAGTTTGGTGTAGCATAGTTACTTTGTAGCGTGAGTACATAGTTAAGCCTGTGTGTTAGTTTCTACTGCTGCATAACAAATTACCATAAATTTGGCAGCCCCAAACAACACCAATTTATTATCACATATATTCTATGAGTCCAGGTACCTGTTAGCTAGGGCCTCAGGTCAGGTCTCAGCAGGCTTAAATCAAGGGGTTGTCTGGGACAGTTATCTCACCTGAGGCTCTGTGTTCTTTTCCAAGCTCAGTGGTTATTGGCAGAATTTATTTATTTGCATTTATAGGACAAAGGTGCCCACTTTCTTGCTGACTGTCAACCAGGAATCTTTCTCATCTCCTAGAGTCCACTTGCCATTCCATACCACATGGCAGTATGCTCCTTCAAAGCAAACAGAATGTGCTGTGTCTTCAAGCTCTCGGACTTCTGTTTCTTATCTCCCTTTTGTTTAACTCAAAGATAATTGATTAGGGATCTTAATTACATATTTGCCCCACAAGGTAACCTAATTACAGGAGTGATACCCTATCATTTTCACAGTCCTGATCTCATTTACGGGGAGAGATTTATACATGGTGTGTGCATCATGGGGGGTAAATCTTGGAATCCATCTTAGAATTCCACCTCCCACAGCCAGTCATAAAAACTCCCTAAGTAAGTTACATAGGTAATTGATATGGCCTTTTACAGTCAATATAGATTGTGTGAAAATGTGGGATATTCATGGTTGGTCACTAATAACGTTCTCATGGCAAGAATATATTCAAATAGGAGAGTTGGTGATATAGGCAGAGAAATCAAACTGACGCTAAACAAAAGAAAACCACCCTTGATTTAAAAAGAATTCCACTTGCTGTCTATCTTTTGCCTGGGACTTCAGGCAGCCTTTGCTCAAAATCTACCAATATGACAGTTGCTTTTCCTTCTGAATTCCTTAGGTGGGTCAAGAGTTTGCTTCTCTCCCCATTCATGAGTGTGAAGTTTAATGTCTAACTAAACTTGTCTCTTACTTTGCCCCTTGTGTAGGCTTGGGCACAATATTTTGAGGCAGCAATATTTTGTGGATTGGTTTACCTGGTGATCCACGCCTCTTCAGTGGGACTAGGTCGGCCCCAGTTCTTCAGCGATGGAGCCTAGGGTGTAGAGCTGTACGACACCATTGGTAGGCGCTCCCCCAAGCCTCGACTCCGCGTTCTTAATGTCTCTTGACCGCTCTCTCTCACAGCTCACCTCTATGGTTTCCGTTGTGGTTTCGTTCGGAATAGGCGGAGCTTCCGGTTCCGGCGGGGGCCGTCCTTAGCGGCGGAGATGGCGGCGACAGCAGCCGAGGCTGTGGCCTCGGGCTCTGGAGGGCCTCGGGAAGAGGCTGAAGCCCCCGGCCCCACCTGGGATGAATCCCAGTTGCGCAGTTACAGTTTCCCCACCAGACCCATCCCGCGTCTGAGTCAGAGCGACCCCCGGGCGGAGGAGCTGATCGAAAATGAGGTGGGGGGGCGGGGCCGTGTCTATAGGGAGAGGAGGAAGGTCTCCTCCCTAGTTGGGAGGAGAGGTCAGAGGCGAATGGTGGAAGAGGTGAGGGACCGGCCGGGCTGTGGGCTGGAGCGTCAGGAGAGATGGTGAGGGAGGCGAAGAAAAACGGAACTTGAGGGGTTCGTGCTGGCTAATGGGAGAAATTAATCTCAATTTGGAAAGTAGTTGGGATCATGGGCGGAGAGCTCCTTGCGATTACTTCTTTTTTTTCCTCCACCTGGTGTTTTCGCTTAGGAGCCCGTGGTGCTGACTGACACAAATCTTGTGTATCCTGCCCTGAAATGGGACCTTGAATACCTGCAAGAGAATATTGGTAATGGAGACTTCTCTGTGTACAGTGCTAGCACCCATAAGTTCTTGTACTATGATGAGAAGAAGATGGCTAATTTCCAGAACTTTAAGCCGAGGTCCAATAGGGAGGAAATGAAATTTCATGAGTTTGTTCAGAAATTGCAGGATATACAGCAGCGAGGAGGGGAAGAGAGGTAAGTTTCTAAATCTTAGTTTTCTAATGGATTTAGGGCATCCATTTTCGTTTCCTGTACTTGTTTGAAGCTGTGATGGAGTTGGGTGATTAGAGATTGGTATCTCTCATCTCTAGATTCTTCTTGAGTGAATAATTTGCTCTTCCAGCCTGTTTGAGTTATTCTTAGGGATTTTGGGGGCTACAGCCAGCTAGTTCTGTAGCTTGAGGGATGAAGGGATAATTAGGTTTGAACTGTGAATCTCTAGTTTCTCATCTTTTTCCTCATAAAATGATAGTCACAGTTGCCTAGAATGGTCAGTTAGGTGAATGAAATGAGTGATGTTGTCTGGGTGGAAGTTATGATGAAGCTGAAGACATATGCCCTGTTCAAAGTAAGAAGTCATTGCTTAACTCTGTTTCCATTTGGGAGTGCAGTCCTAGCATTGCGAGATATTCTGATTTTTAAGAGAAGCTTGAAATTAGGATTTTTTTTTTTTTTTGAGACAGGGTTTTGTTCTGTTGCCCAGGCTAGAGTGCAGTGGTGTCATCATAGGTCACTGTAACCTCAAACTCCTGGGCTCAAGTGATTCTCCTGGCTCAGCCTCCTGGGTAGCTGGGACTCCAGGTGCATGCCACCACATCTGGCTAATTTTTCTGGTTTTTGTAGAGATGTGGTCTTGCTATAATAAGTTGCTCAGGCTGGTCTCAAATTGTTGGACTCAAGTGATCCTCCTGCCTTAGCCTCTCAAAGTGCAAGGATTGTAGGCGTGAGCCACTGCGCCTGGCCTTGAAATCGGAATTTTTATTTAAAATCTTTTGACTTTTAGATGTGACAAACTAATTCAAAAATTTTTTTTAAAAAGTTGCAGGGAGCCAAATGAAAATGTCTGTCATTGAATTTAGTTGTGAGATTGTTAGATTGCCAGTTTGCAGTCTGTGTCCTAAAGTACTATGCTGGCTGGGGACAGTTCAAGCTGAAAGGTTGTATAGTTTGTTGTGATTTTGAAGAAAAGGAGATGGTCTAGGGAAGAATAGATTAGGTTTGTTTTTGTTATCACGATAGCAAACATGAGACACACAGGACAGTGATTCTTCTCTGCTTTTGTTCTTACTTAAGATGACAGCCTCTTATGTAGGTCTCAGACAGCATTCAGTCCCATGCTATAACATTGCCTCCGGGGAACTGCTTTCACTCAGTACTTCAGGCTGTCAGTAGTATGTGGCTAGGTGAATGGATTTGAAATTTCTTTTGAAATTTTGAAATTTCTTCTTGACACTTATCCATTGTCATAATGATGGGAATTTGACTAGAAGAATTTTCAAAGTATGAATTGTGATTTGTCTTATAAATACTGGTTCAGTTTAGTCATTTCATGCATTAATTTATTCAAAATTAGGCCGGGCGCTGTGGCTCACGCCTGTAATCCTAGCTCTTGGGAGGCCGAGGCGGGCGGATTGCTCAAGGTCAGGAGTTCAAAACCAGCCTGAGCAAGAGCGAGACCCCGTCTCTACTATAAAAATAGAAAGAAATTAATTGGCCAACTGATATATATATATAAAATTAGCTGGGCATGGTGGTGCATGCCTATAGTCCCAGCTACTCGGGAGGCTGAGGCAGAAGGATCACTTGAGCCTAGGAGTTTGAGGTTGCTATGAGCTAGGCTGATGCTACGGCACTCTAACCCAAGCAACAGAGCGAGACTCTGTCTCAAAAAAAAAAAGATTTCTAATTAATGTTGCCTTAAACATATGGTTCTAGGCAGTGAGATGCCTTTGAGCCTTTTGAAGTAATGCACTAAGGACCAGCATAGAGCTACTTCTGTCTCTTTTCTTTAGGTTTGCACACTCAAATTTCTCTTGTGGGTCTTGATCAAGGGTGTCTAGGTTTTCACACTCTGTAAGTAACTTCTGATCTCTCTCAGGTATGTTAGGAGCTTGGGGCCTATACCTGATGAGATATCTTTCTCCAGCTATAGAAGGCTGCAGCAGGATAGGTGGCTGAATCAGTTAAGATAAACGAGGCTTCAAGCCAGAGATCAGGGGCTTGAAACAAGGAAGACTTATTTCCGAGTCATGCTTCATGTCCATCATGGGTCACATCATCTTGTTCTTACATTATCTTGTTCACTCTGGGACCTAGATCGCCCCAGGATTAGTATCTGGAACTTTGCATTTGCCACAGAGGAAAAGAGATGCGGTGGGCCAGTTGTTAAATTTAGAGTTGGTTATGTTCATAGTGTTAGGTTCATTTAAAAAAAATTAAAGTTGGAAGTAATACAGGTCACTTTGTGGACATTTTATTGGCCAGAACAAGTTAAATAAGAAGCCTGGCTTCAAGGGGGTGTGGAAGAATAGTTCTTCCACAGAGAAGGAACCAGCTCTTGGTGAATAGTAGTACAGTCTATCACAGTGGCCATGAAGGGCCAAAGGAGGTGTCTCAGGCAGTGAGAGTCTCTGGAGCAAGGCTGATTCATCATTCTAGGTTCTTTAGATCGGCTTCCAGGAATCTGAAATTGTATCAAAATTATGTGTATATGTGCATTTTTATGGGGAACTTTCCTTAGATTCTTAAAGAAGTCATACTCTGATCCATATAGGGTTAAGAATCACTGCTTTAAAGTAAAAAGTTTGACATTGAACAGAGCTCAAAGAAGGATAGGTAAGAATTCAGTTCTGTGAGAATCTGTGTTGGCTAACATTTGTGTGACTACAGCTGTGCTCTGTGGGAGATGCTGGTGTGGATCTTGGTTTGTATTTCCAGGTGTGGGGAAGCCATACCAGGGACTTGTGTGCGTGCACTAATGGGATTTTCTTCTGGGGGAACATAGGTTGTATCTGCAGCAAACACTCAATGATACCGTGGGCAGGAAGATTGTCATGGACTTCTTGGGTTTTAACTGGAACTGGATTAATAAACAACAAGGAAAGCGTGGCTGGGGGCAGCTGACCTCTAACCTGCTGCTCATTGGCATGGAAGGTAAGAAATCCTTCAGAAAGCAGCATGGCTTGGAGTCATAAGAACCTGATTTCTAATCCTTTCTCCACTATATTAGCTCCATTACAATAACTTAACTTTCTTAAACCTCAGCCTACTTGTCTGTAAAAGAAACATGATAATATCATGAACATTTATGAAGATTAAATGAGATAATATATACATTAGGTCTTTAAGCTAGTTTCATGCACTCTAAGAAATTCCCTTTTCCCTTCCTCAGCTGCTGTGTGAGTGCATATGCTGAGATATTTGGGACCTCTCTGAAATACAGTCATACATTGCTTAATGAACAGGGTTATGTTCTGCAAAATGTGTTGATAGGCGATTTTGTTGTTTTTGAACATCGTAGATTGTACTTACACAAGCCCTAGATGATGTGACCTACTATACACCTAGGCTATATGGTGTAGCATATTGCTCTTAGACTGCAAACCTATACAGCAGGTTCCTGTACTGAATATTGTAGGCAATTATAACTCAGTAGTAAGTATTTGTGTGAAAAATTTTACACCGGAATAGGGCAGCTGTATTATAATCTTATAGGACCACTGTGGTATATATAGTCCATTGTTGACCGAAATGTTACATAGCGCATAACTGTACTGCTTCTCTCTATTGGATCTATATTCAGGAAATTTTTATTCCACTAAAAGAAGGGAAATTTATTTTTCCAATAAAAATTTAACCTTATATTTATTTATTTTTTAAGTTTTGAGACAGAGTCTAACTCTGTTGCCTGGGCTAGAGTGCAGTGACGTCATCTTGGCTCACTGCAACCTTCAACTCCTGGGCTCAAGTGATCTTCCTGCCTCAGCCTCCTGAGTAGCTGGGATTACAGGTGTGTGCCACCACACCCAGCTGATTTTTTTCTAGTTTTAGTAAAGATGGGGTCTCAGTCTTGCTCAGGCTGGTCTCGAACTCTTGACCTTAATTGATCTTCCCGCCCCCGGTGCTAGGATTACAGGCATGAGCCACCACATCTGGCCTATTTATTTTTAGAGACAGGGTCATGCTCTGTTGCCCAGGCTAGAGTGCAATGGTGCGATCATAGCTCACTGCAACCTCAAACTCCTGGGCTTAAATGATCCTCCTGCCTCAGGCTCCTGAGTAATTGGGACTACAGGTGTGTGCCACCATGCCCAGGTAATTTTTAAAATTGTTTGTAGAGATGGGTTCTTTATATGTTGCTGAGGCTGGTCTCAAACTCTCCATTTCAATTGATCCTTGTATCTTGGCCTCCCAAAGGCTGGGATTATAGATGTGAGCCACCTTTCCCTAACTTTATCTTTTAAATAGATAATAACGTTCCTGGGGTTCAGATTCAAAAGGTGTAAATAGGTGTGTAGTGATAAATCTCTCTTCCTTACTATCTCCCAGCCTCACAGTTTTCTCCCTGGAAATATTGCATATTATTAGTTGCTTGTGTTTCTTGCTAGAGAATTTTATGCATACACAAGCAAATATGTGAATGTGTTCTTTTGTTTTTTTCTTTTGAATAAAAAGAGAAGCCTTTAAACTTCAGTCGGGAGGAGAGCTACTTACGGACCAGGGTCATTGTCTCACTTTTATTTCTGGCACTAGCTCAGTGCCAGGCCCATAGTAGGTACTTAGTAAATGATGAATAAACTGGGTTGAACAATTTAGCAGAGTAATTATTTGTCATTCACTATTGAGCTCTTTGGTCTCTTCTTTGATTGTCCTTTCCAGCAGTACAGGTTATATATTGACACTTAACCTGTCCCTTTGAAACCAGCTCTTGATTGACCTGTAAGGAAGGAGCCAGTTCTGGTTTACCTGACTCAGTTTTTCTGTTGCTTTCCTTTCCTGTGCTAGGGTGCAGGGAAGTGGTTCCCTCAGGTAGAGATGAGAACGCAGCTCTCCTTTGAGAATGCACATGGACTGTCAGCACTTAAGATGGCAGCTGTCCTTGATATACCCTGGCAGAGTTGGGGAATGTTTTCTAAATTTCATGCCCTGCAGGGGTGTGTGTTCAACTCAAGAATTATGCAAAGAAGAAACAACAGACATGATCCCAAAGGAGTAGATGGAACAAATATACACTAGGGAAGAACTACTTGAAGGTGGCATTTTAAATAATGTGCCTTATTTAAATTATATAACCTTCTCTTTGGAATCTGGTATGTTTCCCTCTGATGAGAATCATCAGCAATGAGTGAGCCCCAGTGTGCTCTGAGAAGTGTTGCATGTCAACAGTTGTGTTGAAGTGGGAACAAAAGTTGAGAATTGGCCAGGTGCAGTGGCTCACGCCTGTAATCCTAGCACTCTGGGAGACCCAGGCGGGCGGATTGCTCGAGGTCAGGAGTTCGAAACCAGCCTGAGCGAGACCCCGTCTCTACCAAAAATAGAAAGAAAGTAATTGACCAACTAAAAATATATATACAAAAAAAAAATTAGCCGGGCATGGTGGCACATGCCTGTAGTCCCAGCTACTCGGGAGGCTGAGGCAGAAGGATCGCTGAGCCCCGGAGATTGAGGTTGCTGTGAGCTAGGCTGACGCCACGGCACTCACTCTAGCCTGGACAACAAAGTGAGACTCTGTCTCAAAAAAAAAAAAAAAAAAAAAAATTGAACACAGCATTGGTGTGCACACTCTCATACACACTCAGTCAGCATTGAGAGAGAGATTAGTTTAAACTGATGAAGTGTCTAATTCCACTGAATGAATATATGCCCTAGAATGAGCATGAGGTAAGACACATGAATCTTCTGGTTCTTTAGTCACTTGAAGTTTCTTGCCTCCCACAGTGAGAGCATTTTGCTTTACTGAGTATGAGTGTAATCTGTACTTTATGGGTGACTAAAGAGTTTTCAAAAATTGTATTCTGTATACATGTTTTGCCCTATCTATTGACTTTAGTCCCAGCCACCTCCACTGTATGATTGTACAAGTTGTTGTAATTATGGGTTAAAATATATCAGGATTGGCCGGGCGCGGTGGCTGATGCCTGTAATCCTAGCACTCTGGGAGGCCTAGGCGGGATCATTTGAGCTCAGGAGTTTGAGACCAGCCTGAGCAAGAGCGAGACCCCATCTCTACCAAAAATAGAAAGAAGTTAATTGGACAGCTAAAGATATACAGAAAAAATAGCTGGGCATGGTGGCACATGCCTGTAAGTCCCAGCTACTCGGGAGGCTGAGGCAGAAGGATTGCTTGAGCCCAGGAGTTTGAGGTGGCTGTGAGCTAGGCTGATGCCATGGCACTCTAGCCTGGGCAACAGAGTGAGACTCTGTCTCAAAAAACCAAACAAACAAAATAAAATGTATCAGGATCCCCTTTGAGCTATTTTGAGCATTTACTATTCAGGTATAATAGTAATGCTGTTTAGATTCATGTTTGGGGTTTATCACCAGCTCCTTCAAAGTTACTTGCAAAATTTTTGTGTGAATACATATGTTATAATTTCTGTGGAGCTGTATTTGAATCTTGAGGATTCCATGTCTCCAAAATGATAGCTAGTGTTTCCAGCCTATCAAGATTTCTAATTAGGCCGGGTGCGGTGGCTCGCACCTGTAATCCTAGCACTCTGGGAGGTGGAGGCGGGTGGATCATTTGAGCTCAGGAGTTTGAGACCAGCCTGAGCAAGAATGAGACCCCATCTCTACTAAAAAAAAATAGAAAGAAATTAGCTGGACAACTAAAAAATTATATATATATATACATACATATATATATGTGTACATATATATGTATGTGTGGTGGTGATATATTATATATGAATATATTATATATATAAAATTAGCTGGGCATGGTGGTGGACATGCCTATACGTCCCAGCTACTCGGGAGGCTGGGCAGAAAAGGATCAACCCTTGAGCCTTAGGAAATATATTGAGGTTGAAACAATTATTAGCCTTAAGGCTGAATGCACGGCACTCTAACAAAACAAAAAGACAACAGAAACGAGACTCCTGTCATACAAAATTTCTAATTAATAGAGAAACACATTTAAAACTATGGATATAATGGCAAGTGGAAGAAGGGCACCTTTGAGCCTTTTTGCAAAGTGATGCACTAAGCGACCAGGCATCAGAGCTTTACTTCTGTCTCTTATTCCTTTCAAAGGGTTTGCACCTCAAAATTGTTCTCTTTGTGGGTCTTGATCCAAGGGTGTCCTAAAGGTTTTCAACACTCTGTAAAAGTAACTTCTGATCTCTCTCCACAGGTATGTTAGAGCCTTGGGGCCTTATACCCTGGATGAGACTATCTTTCTCCCCAGCCTATAGAAGGCTGCAGCAGCGATAGGTGGCTGAATCAGTTAACAGATCAATGAGGGCTTCAAGCAGAATCAGGGGCTTGGAATACCAAAAGGAAGACGTTAACAATTTCCCGAGTCATGCTTCCCCATGTCCAATCATGCGTCACATCACCTCTTGTTTCGTTAAATTATCTTGTTCCACTCTGGGACCTAGATGCCCCAGGAATTAGTATCTTGGAACCTTTGGGCATTTGCCACAGAGGAAAAGAAGATGCGGTGGGCCAGCTTGTTAAAATTTAGAGTTGGTTATGTTCTAGTGGTTAGGTCCGATTTAAAAAAAAAAACTTAACAGTTGGGAAGGTCCCAATACAGGTCACTTTGTGGGCAT